CGCAAGAGGCCCCAGGGACCCCCAAGAAGCCTCCAAAAGAACACCAAGAGGCCCCCTAACGGCCCCAAGGGGCCAGTAAGAAGCCCTCGCAATTGTATACTACTGGCGCGTTGGTGCAATGCTCATCGTGATTTGAACTTGGCGTTGCCTTGTGCTGACTTTTTGTCGGCGGCGTCGCAAAACTCAAACGCGGGCACAGGGAAACCGGGGCGCAGAAGAAACTGATTCGCCGGAGCGTGCCGTAGACGAGGAACGAAGAAGGATGCGGCCGCAGAGGCAGTTGCGGACACAGCGTCCAGGTCTGCAGGAAGGCCTCAAGACAGCTAAGACTGCTGCAAGACGGCCCGATGTGGTTCCAAGACGGCTCCAGATGGCCCCAACGTGATTTGAAATTGGCGTTGCCTTGTGCTGACTTTTTGTCGGCGGCGTCGGCAAAACGCAAACGCGGGCACAGGGAAACCGGGGAGCAGGAAGAAACTTCTTGGCCGCGAGCGGCCGTAGACGAGGAACGAAAAGCCTGCCGGCCCGCGGAGCAGAGGCGGACACAGCGTTTGGAACATCGAAGATATCTCGGCCGCCAGGGGCTGCAGGAAGGCCTCAAGGACAGCTAAGAACTGCTGCAGACGCCCGGTGTTGTTCCAAGATGGGCTCCAGATGGCCCCAACGTGATTTGAAATTGGCGTTGCCTTGTGCTGACTGTTTGTCGGCGGCGTCGCAAAGCTCAAACGCGGGCACAGGGAAACCGGGGCGCAGAAGAAACTGATTCGCCGGAGCGTGCCGTAGACGAGGAACGAAGAAGGATGCGGCCGCGGAGGCAGTTGCGGACACGGCGTCCAGGTCTGCAGGAAGGCCTCAAGACAGCTAGGGACTGCTGCAGACGGCTTCATGTGGTTCCAAGGAGGCCTCCAGAGGCCCCAACGTGGTTTGAAATGGCGTTGCCCTTGTGTGACTTTTTGTACGCGGACCGTCGCAAAAACTCAAACGCAGGGCCAGGGAAACCGGGGGGCGCTCAGTCTCCGGATTTCGCCGGAGCGTGCCGTAGACGAGGAACGAAGAAGAATGCGGCCGCGGAGGCAGAGGCGGACACAGCGTCCAGGTCTGCAGGAAGGCCTCAAGACAGCTAAGACTGCTGCAAGACGGCCCGATGTGGTTCCAAGACGGCTCCAGATGGCCCCAACGTGATTTGAAATTGGCGTTGCCTTGTGCTGACTTTTTGTCGGCGGCGTCGCAAAACTCAAACGCGGGCACAGGGAAACCGGGGCGCAGAAGAAACTTCTTCGCCGGAGCGTGCCGTAGACGAGGAACGAAGAAGAATGCGGCCGCGGAGGCAGTTGCGGACACAGCGTCCGGTCTTGCAGGAAGCCTCAAGACAGCAAGACTGCTGCAAGATCCGCCCGATGTGGTCCAAGACGGCTCCAGATGGCCCCACGTGATTTGAAATTGGCGTGCCTGTGCTGGACTTTTTGTCGGCGGCGTGCGCAAAACTCAAACGCGGGCACAGGGAAACCGGGGCGCAGAAGGAAAATGATTCGCCGGAGCGTGCCGTGGAAGACGAGGAACGAAGAAGTATGCGGCCGCGGAGGCAGAGGTGGACACAGCGTTCAGGTCTGCGGAAGGCCTCAAGACCACTACGACTGCTGCAAGACGGCCCGAGTGGTTCCAAGACGGCTCCAGATGGCCCCAAGATTTGACATTGGCGTTGCCTTGTGCGAACTTTTTGTCGGCGGCGTCGCAAAAACTCAAACGAGGCACAGGGAAACCGGGGGCGCGGAAAGAAACTTCTTCGCCGGAGTCGTGCCGTAGACGAGGAACGAAGAAGGAATGCGGCCGCGGAGGCAGTTGCGGACACAGCGTCCAGGTCTGCAGGAAGGCCTCAAGACAGCTAAGACTGCTGCAAGACGGCTCGATGTGGTTCAAAGACGGTTCCAGATGGCCCCAACGTGATTTGAAATTGGCGTTGCCTTGTGCTGACTTTTTGTCGGCGGCGTCGCAAAACTCAAACGCGGGCACAGGGAAACCGGGGCGCAGGAGAAACTGATTCGCTGGAACGTGCCGTAGACGAGGAACGAAGAAGAATGCGGCCGCGGAGGCAGTTGCGGACACGGCGTCCAGGTCTGCAGGAAGGCCTCAAGACAGCTAAGACTGCTGCAAGACGGCCCGATGTGGTTCCAAGACGGCTCCAGATGGCCCCAAGACGAGCCGCTCCCGGCCCAAACGTTCCCCGGGCCCCTCCGGCCACCCTGTCTGGCTTCCTGGGCTTCCGAGGTCGGGGATCTTCGGACCCGGGTCCATCCAGGCCTGGGACAGTCAGGCCTTGCAGAACCCTGCAGGATCCCCTCCTCCTTCTCCTCCTCCTCCTCCTCCTCCTCCTCCTCCTCCTTGAACGATCCTGCACCCAAACCCAGGTCAATGCGAAGGATCCTGCAAGATCCTGCAGGATCCTGCACCCAAACCGGGGCCAATGCGACCCTGGCCCTGCAGGATCCTGCAAGATCGGGCGCTCTGGCTGACCCCAGTTGGCATCGACCCCCGTCTCAACTCGGACATGCGACGTCCTGATGTTTTCAGGACGGCGTCCCCGGAAGTCCCGACCCTCTCCCCGGGGCCGGTTTCTCATCCTGAGTCGTTTTTCGACGGTCCTGGGGCCCGGTTGATGGCCCCCCGGGGCCGAAAATCATGGAAAGCTCACCGTCCTGTTTTTGCTAACGACGCGATCACGTCTGGGAAGGCTCCCGATCCTCGTGGGCGCCTCGTGGGCGCCCCGCGCTTGGGCGGGTGTCCCCAGAGGTCGCCCGGCGTCCGCCCGCGAGGGGCCGTGAGCGCCCTTGCAACACAGCCTGCACCACGCAGCCTGCACCGCGCCGCTTGCAGCGTGCAGCCCACACCAAAGAGCTCACACAGACACGGCCCGCGCAACACAGCTGGGCGTACACACCCTAGCTTACAGGGCATGCTTGAATACAGTGGAGTTTAAAACATATGCGATTTTCAATACATGATGGATGTATGAATACATGTATGCATGAACTCATCGTTGCTTTTAGTACTGGATCCCTGAATGTTTAATACATGATCCGCACGCGGAGCATGTATTAAAAACGGCACTGTACACAAGAGAGAGTGTGCACACAATGTAGTTCACGGCGCACGTCTTACGCCACACGGCGCAGACTACATATAGCTCAGGCTGCGAGACTCACATCACACAGCTCGCACCACGGGGTGTGCACATCATTGCCTACGCTACAGAGCTTACACAGCGCAGCTTTCACCACATCGCTCAGACTGCAAAGCTCGCACAACATAGCTTACATCACATAGCCCACACCACACAGCTTGCACGACACGTGGCTCACATCCGCCGTGCAATGACCCACCGAGTGGGGTCCACGCTGGCTAACATCCGTGGGCCCTAACAACCTCGACCTGACCGCGCCGAGACAACACGCACCCGCCCCAGTGTGGGGCGATGGCGGGCGCCTCCTCCTCGGCACCCTCGACGTCTACCTTCACCGCGCAGAGCTCCCTCGACGGCCGCCGCCTCCGCAGCTCGGCGTCGAGGGAGACGCTGCGCACTGGGGGGGGGAGGGAGGGGGGCTGCTTGCCGAGATGATGGGGCGGCGATGGCCTCGTCAAGACTGCCTTGCCCTGCCGCGACCTGCCTCGTATCGCCTTCTCCTCCTCCTTCTCCCGCACCGCCTCCTCCTCCTCCTCCTTCTCCTCCTCCTCCTCGTCCTCCTCCTCCTCCTCATCCTCCTCCCCCTCCTCCTCCTCATCCTCCCCCTCCTTCTCCTCATCCTTCTGCTCCCCCTCCTCCTCCTTCTCCTCTTCCTCCTCTTCCTCCTCCTCCTGCTCCTCCTCCTCCAATGTCGCCGGGGGCAGTATCGAGAGATCGCTGACCCACCAGGAGGGTCGCCGACTCACCAGGAGTATCGAGGGGTCGCCGATCCTCTCTACAGACCTTCTACTCGCGCTTCCCGCCCTAGGTCCCGCCGCCGTCGCATCTCCCCTGGCAATCCCTTCCTTCACGGCACTGCGCCCGAGCGCGCTCTCGACGCACGCTTCGTGAGGGGCCCCGGGTGAAATCCACCGTGCATCGGCGCACGCTGTGGCTCTTCCTATCGAGGGGTCGGGGCCCAGACAGGAGCGCCAGGAGCAGGACGAGCGCCGGCCTCCGCCGAGGGCGAGCCTCGTGCCGAGGACGAGGCCCTCGCGGGAGAGCGCCCCCCGCGGAGCTCCGCCCGGCGGTGCCGGCGGGCCTCCACGCGCGGTCGCCCGGGCCTCCCCAGGCAACCTCCGCGCGGAGGGGGAGGCGGTGGGCCTGTTTCCCACCGCCACCGGCAGGAGGAGGATGGGGAGGGGGCCCTCCTCCTCCTCCTCCTCCTCCACCTCCTCCTCCTCTTCTTCCACCTCCCTTCCCCCTCCAACTGATGGTGGTGGTGGTGGCGAACAGGCCCATCAGGAAGGAACGGAGGGAGGCTGCGGCTGGAGTTCCCCCAGGAGGAGCCGTGCTGCGGGAGGGCGCGAGGAAGAGGCGGGCTTTCATCCGGGTGGGCCAGGTCGTGGTCCCAGCATGATCCTAGCTAGCGTCGGCCAGCAGGTGGGCTTCTGAAGATTACCTGGTCAGAGGCCGCGCCGACGTACAAAGCCGCAAAGGAACGTCCTCCCCCACGCAGCTGTCTTCCAACCGCGGAACGAAGCCATGAGTGCACATAAAAAAACAGGGGGGGGCGCCGGTGCCCACGACGCAACTGCGCTGAGGCGTCGCAGACCTACTGTAGCGTTTCGAACGCTTGGCCACATAAGCGTACCCTAACAGGCAGTGGGCGGCGGTGATTCGCCAGGGGGGTCTTCGAGAAAATTCGCCGTGGCGCGCAAATCTAACACTGCGAGTTAAATTCAAGACCGAGGACCCATTCCATTCTGTAGGCTCACCAGGCGATTTCCTGCCCTTTCAGCTTCATGGCGGTGCCTTCGGGGCCCTGCTACTCCTCGGGGCTCTACTTCTCATCGGCGTCCAAGTCGGCATCCTTCAGGAGCTGCAGCGCGGTTGCCTTGTCAATGCCCAGCTTCTTCGTGCCCCTCTGCATCAGTTTGATGAACTCCGTTTTGTTATCGATGACGCCGCCGTCGTCTGTGTCCTCCTCGTCCTCCTCGTCCTCCTCGTCCTCCTCGTCATCCTCGTCATCCTCGTCCTTCTCGTCCTCCTCGTCCTCCTCGTCCTCCTCATCCTGCTCGTCCTCCTCGTCCTCCTCGTCCTCCTCGTCCTCCTCGTCCTTGCTGAACCTCAGTTGGGCCTTCTCATCGCCGTCCTGGAGCAACCGCTGCTGCCCTTTAAGCTTCTTGACAGTGCCTTCGAGGCCCAGGTACTCCTCAGGACTCAACTTCTCATCGGCGTCCAAGTCGGCATCCTTCAGGAGCTGCAGCGCAGTTGCCTTATCAATGCCCAGCTTCTTCATGCTCCTCTGGATCAATTTCTTGAACTCCGCTTTGTTGTCGATGAAGCCGCTGTCGTCCGTGTCCGCCTTGCTGAATCTCAGTTGGGCCTTCTCGTCGCCGTCCTGGAGCAACCGCTGCTGCCCTTTAAGCTTCTTGGCGGTGCCTTCGAGGCCCAGGTACTCCTCGGGGCTCAACTTCTCATCAGCGTCCAAGTCGGCATCCTTCAGGAGCTGCAGCGCAGTTGCCTTGTCAATGCCCAGCTTCTTCATGCCCATCTGGATCAATTTCTTGAACTCCGCTTTGTTGTCGATGAAGCCGCTGTCGTCCGTGTCCGCCTTGCTGAAACTCAGTTGGGCCTTCTCGTCGCCGTCCTGGAGCAACCGCTGCTGCCCTTTAAGCTTCTTGGCGGTGCCTTCGAGGCCCTGGTACTCCTCGGGGCTCAACTTCTCATCGGCGTCCAAGTCGGCATCCTTCAGGAGCTGCAGCGCGGTTGCCTTGTCAATTCCCAGCTTCTTCATGCCCATCTGCATCAATTTGATGAACTCCGTTTTGTTATCGATGCCGCCGCCGTCGTCTGTGTCCTCCTCGTCCTCCTCGTCCTCCTCGTCCTCCTCGTCATCCTCGTCCTCCTCGTCCTTCTCGTCCTCCTCGTCCTCCTCGTCCTCCTCATCCTGCTCGTCCTCCTCGTCCTCCTCGTCCTCCTCGTCCTCCTCGTCCTTGCTGAACCTCAGTTGGGCCTTCTCGTCGCCGTCCTGGAGCAACCGCTGCTGCCCTTTAAGCTTCTTGGCGGTGCCTTCGAGGCCCTGGTACTCCTCTGGTCTCAACTTCTCATCGGCGTCCAAGTCGGCATCCTTCAGGAGCTGCAGCGCAGTTGCCTTGTCAATGCCCAGCTTCTTCATGCTCCTCTGGATCAATTTCTTGAACTCCGCTTTGTTGTCGATGAAGCCGCTGTCGTCCGTGTCCGCCTTGCTGAATCTGCAGTGGCCTTCTCGTCGCCGTCCTGGAGCAACCGCTGCTGCCCTTTAAGCTTCTTGGCGGTGCCTTCGAGGCCCAGGTACTCCTCGGGGCTCAACTTCTCATCAGCGTCCAAGTCGGCATCCTTCAGGAGCTGCAGCGCAGTTGCCTTGTCAATGCCCAGCTTCTTCATGCCCATCTGGATCAATTTCTTGAACTCAGCTTTGTTGTCGATGAAGCCGCTGTCGTCCGTGTCCGCCTTGCTGAATCTCAGTTGGGCCTTCTCGTCGCCGTCCTGGAGCAACCGCTGCTGCCCTTTAAGCTTCTTGGCGGTGCCTTCGAGGCCCTGGTACTCCTCGGGGCTCAACTTCTCATCGGCGTCCAAGTCGGCATCCTTCAGGAGCTGCAGCGCAGTTGCCTTATCAATGCCCAGCTTCTTCATGCCCATCTGGATCAATTTCTTGAACTCAGCTTTGTTGTCGATGAAGCCGCTGTCGTCCGTGTCCGCCTTGCTGAACCTCAGTTGGGCCTCCTCGTCGCCGTCCTGGAGCAAGCGCTGCTCCCCCTCCTTGCTCGCCAGGTCGAGCACAGCGTCGCCCCCCACACCCGGCGCGGATGGCCTCACCGCGCGGGGCCCCTCTCCGGTGGTGGCCGCCACGGAGCAGGTGGCCCACACGAGCAACGCGGGGGCGCAGAGCGCCGCCGCCGCGCGCCGGGGGCGGAGCGGCCGGGGGGCGCCCGGCGACTCCTCGGCGGCGTCGCTCTCCGTGTCCGTGAGCTGCCGAGCGGTCGCGTACCCGAACATCGCGCGCTCCAAACGAGCACGCGCAGGGCGCGAGGCGGGGACGGCGAGACTCGGGCGGCCCGGGGCCGAAATGGCCTGAGCCCAAACGGCTGCGGGGGGGCACGGAGGAGCAGGAGGGCGACGAGGACGGAGCAGGAGCGGGCAGAGGCAGAGGCAGAGGAGGAAGGGGGGGGGGGAAAGGGGGCGGCGCCCTCGAGGCCGTTCTTGTGGAAGGAATCCACGTCGGCGGCGCCCTCGGAAGGGGGGCGCACGCCAGGGAGCGCGCGGGCCTCGGGCAGGGCCCCGGGGGGGGGCGGGGGGGGCCCGGCTCTTCTCGCCGCAGCCCACGGAGGCCCACGCGCTGTGCGCGCTGGCGCCTCCGACGGACCACGCCGGCGCCGTGCGCTTCCGCGGCGGCAGTCTGTGCTGCCCGGCCCCGGGGGAGAACGTACAGTCGGGGGCTTGACCTAAGGAACCCAAAATAAGGAACGAGGCCCCTTTTTTCCATAAGTTAAACTTCGACTGCCTACCGAAAACAGAAGGAAACCCTGAGGCAAGCTGTGGAACACTTAAGGAACGCGGAGCCCCTCCCCAACAAAAAGGGTTCCTTCTTCAGGGCCCCGACTGTACAGCCGGCCCGTATCGGAAGGATGCGCCAGGGACTGGACCTGAACGCTGTTGTTCGTTGTGTTGTCGTGTTGTTGTTCGTTTTGCTCTACCTGTTTGCCTGCACCGCCCTGCCGATACGAGAAACAAAGCGCAGCCGAAGTCCAGCAAAACAACACTTAGGTTCAGCCCTGGGATGCGCGATAGGGATGCAAGGGCCTTGGACGCCCCTTTCAAAGCTTTTCGAGCGGGGCGCGGCCAACAGAAGTGGCGAAGGATGGACCGAGGAGGCAAGGGATGCAAGGGTAACTCTCCTTGGGAAGGTTGCTCATCCTTCCTATGCGGGTCGACTGTAGCCCGCATCTCCTCGCGTCGCGAAACAACATCGCGGCGGGAGGTTAGTTTGTCCTAGGCTCGGCCTCCAGGGACCCTCGCCGAGACCCGGGACCGTCAAGAGACGACCCGGGACGAAAGGCGGGTCCCAGTGACAAGAGGCCTCCTAGACGGGGTCGGAGTAGAAGGGACCGGATGCCTATAGAGTGACTGGGTCGAGGCCTCCGAGGCCCACGCCGTGGAAGAAGCGGGACGCCGGGGGTCTGGGCAGGGACGTCCCCGACGGGCCACGCCCGCGCCACGTGCTCGCGGCAGCCTGCGCTACACCAGGCCCAGAGAGAGAAAGGAAGGGCGGGAGGTTGGAGGCCGCCCAGATGGGGTCCGAGCAGCTGGGGGCAAGAGGGTCGCGCCGCATCGCCAGGGCCTCGGCGATGCCTCGGCGACGCATCGGCGATGCATCGGCGGTGCATCGGCGGTGCATCGGCGACGGCGGCATGGAGAACATCGGGCCCCGCATCGAGCTGCATCGCCGGTGCATCGGCGATGTGGCGCGATCCTCCGACCCCATGTGCTCCGACCCCATCCAGGAGGCCTATGCAGGGTGGGATATTGATCGAGGGGTGGGCGAGTAACCTTCCGACGGAGCTTGCCAATCCCCCCCCACCACCACCACCAGATCCTCCTGCTCCTCCTCCTCCTCCTCCTCCTCCTCTCCTCCTCCACTCCTCCTCCTCCTCCCCTCCCCCTCCCCTCTCCCCATCTCCTCTCCTCCTCCTCCTCCTCCTCATCCTCCTCCGCCTCCTCCTCCTCCCCTCCCCTCCTCGCCTCCGCCACCTCACCCTCCCCCTCCTCTTCCTCCTCCTCCCCTCCTCCTCCTCCTCCTCCTCCTCTTCGTTCTCCTCCGCCCCTCCCCCTCCTCCTTCTCCTCTGCCTCCTCCTCCTCCTCCAACCCCCCCTCCAGCCCGTTCCGACAGCACGCCCGTTCCGACAGCACCCCCCCCCGCGCGGACCCGAGGGGGGGGGCGATGATTGCCCCATCCAGGGTAGAGGACAGGCAAAAGCAGACGACGGCGAACGAAACAGGCAGGCGGGGGGGGGGGCAGCAGGCCGGCGGCACGAGGCAGGCGGCACGAGGCGGGCGGGCGGCGGAGGGCGTGCCACGTCTCAGCCCCGGGGCATGTATCCTCGATCTCGGCCCCTGGGGGCCCGTCGGTGGGGCCCGTCCCTGAGATCCAGTCCATCCTGCAGGAGCCCCTTGCTCCAGGGACCCTACTCAACCTCCTCCTCCTCCTCCTCCTCCTCCTCCTCCTCCGCCTCCTCCTCCTCCGTGTCCTCCTCCCTCCTCCCTCCTCGTCTCCTCGTCCTCGGTCTCCTCCTCCGCCGCCTCCTCCTCTTCCTCCTCATCCTCCTCCTCCTCCTCATTCTCCTTCTCCTCTCCCGAGCGGCAAACGTACCCTGAGATCCTGGCGTTGCACTTGTTTCACCACCAGCGTTTTCGCTGCTTTTCGTGCTCCAAGACCCTCGCAGATCGATCCGGCTCGAAGAACTGACGCAGAAAGACCAGGCCTAGGGCTCTGGGCGTGATTTTTGCGATGTTGCAATTTTTGCTGCAACGTCGGATCTCAGGGCTAGACACTCAAAACCGGATCCGAGCAAGGGGTCGAGGCCTCTTGGGTCGCGCATGGAAAACTGCGCTACCGAAGAGCCCCACATACTTAGTGTGCACCTGGTGTGTTAATGCAGCCATGACGTTGGCAATGGGGATTAAGGGAACCACCGCGTGCACACCCCTCCACCTGGAGTCGAGAGAGTGCCACGCCTGCCGTGCCGTGCAAGCCTGGAGCGTGCAGAGACTGCGCTCAGGGACCACCCCCAGCGCACCCCCTTCTCTGGTCCCGAGAAACTGCCACGCTTCCTGTGCCCTGCGAGCCTGGAGGGTACGGAAACTGCGCTCAGATACGGTTCCCTGCGCATTCTATCTGGCGTCGAGAAAGTGCCCCGCCTGCCGTGCCCTGCGAGCCGAAAGCTTATATATATATACATATATATAGAGGCCGCGCTTGAGGACCACCCCCTGCGCACCCCATCTGGTGCCCAGAAAGTGTCCCTGCAAGCCTGAAGCGTGCTCAGGGACCGCCCCCTGCGCACCCCGTCTGGCATCTAGAGAGTGCCACACCGACCGTGCCGTGCGAACCTGGGAAGTCTAGAGACCGCGCTCAGGGACCACCCATTACGCACCCCTCTGGCGTCGAGAAAGTACCACGCCCGCCGTGCCCTGCGAGCCTGGAGCGTGTACCGGCCGCGAAGTGGGAACAGCCCCACCCGCTCCCCCTCTGGTGTCGAGAAAGTGGCACGCCTGCCGTGCCGTGAGAAACTGCAGCGTATCGAGACCGCGCTCAGGGACCACCCTCTGCGCACCCCATCTGGTGCCCAGACAGTGCGACGCCAGCCGTGCCCTGCGAGCCTGAACAGCATAGAGACCGCGCTCAGGGCCCACCACCTGCGCACCCCGTCTGGCGTCGAGAGAGTGCCACGCATACCGTGCTCCGAGAACCTGGAACGTATAGAGACCACGCTAAAGGACCACCCCTTGCCCACCGCCTCTGGTTGCAAGAAATTGCAACACCTGCTGCGCCCTGCGAGCCTGGAGCGTGCAGAGACCGTGCTCATGGACCACCCCCTGCGCCCCCCATCTGGTGTCGAGAAGCGCCATGCCTGCCGTGCGCTGCGAGCCTGGAGCGTACATAGCCCGCGCGACTAAGGGCCACCCCCTGCGCAACCCCTCCGCTGTCAAGAAAGAGACACGCCCGATGCTGGCACTTGGCGGCGCGCACAAGCGGGTGGGGGGAGGGGGGAGGGCTTCTTAGAAGGTGGCTGCTTCTGAGAAGGCGCCAGCCTTACATCTATAGATGAGGCCCGCGCCTTCTAAGAAGCAGGGGTGCTTCTTCTAACCAGCCTCCCTCCACCACCCACCCCCCTCTTGCGCGGGCTAGCACGGGAGAGTAGGACCCAACCGACCCCCCCTCCCACCCCTCCACACACGTCCGGACACCCCCAACCCTTCCCCCACCCCACGGCAGCTCTGTTCTTGGGAGCCCCCAACCCGCAATCTCTCGCCCGGAACCCACCGATACCCCCCCCCCCACGCCCCCACCACGTCCCGACACCCCCACCCCGCGGCAGCTTTGTTCTTGGGAGCCTCCAGCCCGCAATTTCTCGCCCGGAGATGTCAGGCCCCGGCACCCCAAACATGATGGAACTCGGCCCGCTGTCCAGGGGTGCGTTCTGACCCAGATTTCGAGGGCATCCAGCCGTGGCGACGTGCACCCTCTCGGAGGCTCCCAAAAAGAAAGAACGTCCAGAAACCTCTTGAATCGTCGCCCTCGAACCTCGATGCTGGTACGACGACGATCTCATACGCTGCATAGTCGGACTGCCGAGACCAGCGGAAGGCTGTCCTCGACCCACGCCACCGCCCGCGCCGCCCTCTGGAAGAGGCAGCGCTTGGCAGGTCGCGCTGTGGGACTGCCTCGGCCGCCGCGGGCCGTGGGGACCAGGCCGCGACTCTACCACGTTCCTCCACCTCCACCTCTGCCTCCTCC